GGATGCGGGCAGAAGGGTCGCTTCTCAAGATATGACGCTCTGTGGCCGAGAAGCACTGTTACTTATTGGCTTCATTCTATACGTAAGAGCGAGTAATTCTACTGGGACATGCGCGTCGGTATGCATATGTGAGTGTCTGGGCTAGATTGGGTCGTAGCGATGCCACCGATGGCGACTCGGATTGCATTGCGCCTCGATCGAGATGCGGCTTGGCATGTTCAGGTGCGGACTGTATCTTAATTAGCGTTAATTTCCCCATAAACGACAGCGTTGCAGCTACAGAGTAAATACGTAACCGCGAGGATTTGCTGCGGACTAGGTGAGGCAATTAAGCAATAGCAACGCAGCTATATATAACAGCTGCACGACGTACTAACACTTGCTCCCCGCGGAATACAGTTAGTACTCAGTTGGAAATAAACATTTCGTCAGTGTTGTCTTGGCATGAGGAGAAGCGGCGAATGTCAAAGACCTAGACGACCAACTCCAATAGCGTTCAAGGGAAAATGGGGTTTAAGCACAAGGAAATTGCACATTCATGCCTCATATTCACGAGTGGCCTGCTGTTTACGTCAGTTACGTATTAAAGCGAATGCAATTTCTCGTGAGCGATCTTACTCGCTGGACACTGCAACAGCGATAGTGTCGCGATAGTTATAGCCCACGAACAAGCCGGATGCTGATACAGCTGCAGGGCTATGTCGCGCCTTGCCAATCAACAACAAGGACAGTAACGCTGCCAGCTGTAGACTGAAACAGCCGTTCTATAGAATTCGCATTCTCAATCAAAAGGGCGCATGCCAGCACCAGCTGAAGCTCCGTTTAACACACATTCACAGTTCTGTACGCCGTAACTCAATATCGACATATATACCCTCTGCTAGTGATCTTCATCGCTGCGTATAGTAGAGTTGTAGGGTTTTGGGTCAGTGTAGTGGTAGGGTTCTTGTAGTGGTTAGCTGGTAGGTTCTAGTTCTGTAGTGGTTAGGTTGCTGATAGTGTAGTGGTGTGGTTCTGGTTTGGTAGTCGGTAGTGGTAGGGTTCCGCGGTGCATGCATTGTGTGCGGTGGGTGCTGATAGTGTAGTTATAGGGTATCGTAGTAAGTGCATAGTGCGTAGGAGTTCTGATTCAGGTGTAGTGGTAGGTGTTCTGGTAATTGGTATCGATGCAGAGGTTCTGGTATAAAGTAGCGCCGTAGGGTTAGATAGGTTTTGGGTACGTTGACAGATGGGCTTTGTAGTGGTAATGTAGGCGTTTTGGTTGATCTGGTAGGAGTGCGCTTCATGGAATTGTTCATATACATACCTCGCTGCCTACGAGCATATTTTCGACGGTCACATCCGGTGTTGTCAGATCCGGATGATCAGCGTCTGGAGGCAGCCAGTGAAAGGTAGTTGTGCAATTGGATTTATATTGTTAGTT